GTTAGTAACCTGTTGAGCCAAGCATCGGGAGGGCCCTTCGTGGCAGACTCGCCAGCCTGCAAATGGACTTGTCAAGTTACACCGTTGACGTCATCTCGCAAGTTCTTCGGCCATCTTTCTGCCAAAACTGGAACTGTCTTGCTCCTGCCCACGGCCAGTCCTCCACTGTTATGACGTAGTGGGCTTCGGCGCTCACACTCGGACACTCCAAGCGAGGCATGTGGTTCGAGGTAACACTGGGCTGCATGGCATTCCTCTTCCTTCTTGGCAGCAGCACTAATACAAGAGTGATACAAGAATCAAGGCATTTCCGGCCTCTCGCGCCTCGCGCGATTTCAACTTGGCGACCGGCTTAGCAGCTGGAGATCGCGACTTGCTTCTCTTCGGCGACCTGCCCACGACTTGTGTACCATATTAACTTAACCCTGAAGGCCCATGAACGCTCCACACGGCTCCACTTCTCAGCACACCGTCGTGAGGCCCCTTCTCTCGCGAAGGCACAGCACCGGACGTGAAGTAGGAAAAGAAGCATTGCTAGGCTTGGGCTGCCTTGGCCGGCCTATTTCGCCTCGGTGGCACTGCCCCGAAAGAAGGTTCGAGCGGTGGGTCGTACCAACCGGATGCAGTGATCGCCCAGTACTCGCTGTGCACGAACCTCGATCACCTGACATGTCCTTTTCCGTAGAACCCTGCGAATCGCAAACTGCCCCAGGTCAGGGCACCGACTGGAAGCTGTAGAGGCGATGGCTCCTCTCTTCCCCCGGCAAGCGCTCCAGCGTCCAGGAGACTTGCTTCAGCTGGCCGCTGAGTCCCAGCTCGGAGAGTGGCTCTTCGAGGCCCAAAGACTCATCCAACTGCTTCACACCCTGGCGCCTGTCCGGCTCCCCGGTGATGAGGATGGCAGCTTTCGCCCTACCACTTTGCAAGAAGTGGCAAAGAGCCCCCAGCACGCCTTGAGCGTGGTCTGCGTCGTAGATGATGTCAGCTCCTATGACAATATCGATGGTGTCGCTCTTGAGATCTTCCGGAAGCACCCCTGAACTGACAGAATTCCAATCCAGTTGCAATGTCGAAACTCTATGCTCCAAGGAGTTAAAGACTATAGAACGCTGGCAGGCACAAAGGAGCTCCTTGTCATAGTCGGTAAGCACGACATTTCTGGCGCCTGCACAAGCACAAGCCAAGCCAACCACGCCTAGTCCGCAGCCCAACTCCAGAATCACCTTGTCAGCCACATGAAGCCGGGGAACTTCATCAGTTTCGGAGCTTCGCAACAGTTTCAGGGCTGCCGTCGTACCATGCCAGATGAAGCGCCCATCGGCCATGGTCCAATCCAAAACATGACTGCCCACGGAGATCAACAGCTCCGGAGGGACTCCTCCAAAATCCAACGGGACTCTGAGGACCTCTTCCTTCTTGGCCGCCGAGATCTCCTCAATCAGCTCTTCTGCCAGGCTTGCTAGCTCCTCCTTCATCAGCATCCGGCAAAGCCAGGTGGTCATGCTGTCCACCCCCAACTCTTTCGATGCTGCGCCGTCCAAGCACGATGCGCGCCAGGCCCGCTCGCCTTGCCAAAGCTCCTTGGCCCGCATCTCCTCAAGTAGCTCCTGGAGGCCATCTCTCAGCGCCTCAAGGTTTCCTTCACGAAAAGCCATTGCGGTCTGCTGAAGCACTGGTACGAGCGCATGGGGCTCATCCGCTGTCTCTTGCATCGCGACCCCGGAACATTCTAAAGCGGCGAAGGCCGCGCGAGTCGGCAATCATGAAGCATGAGGTGCATGGCTGGCTGCGCGAGTCAGGATGCACAAAGTGCTGACATCGTGTTCTTGCCTTCCCCTGAAAGCTCGGCACCCTCTTGTTGAAGCATGATCGAGGAAAGTAACAAAGCTGGTGCAACGTTCCCTTTCTGTGTTCCTGGCCTCGACAATGCCTTGCCCCGCTTTCGAGGGGATGTCTCGCCTCAGAAAATGGCATTGAATCTGCAATTTCGTCGCGTGGCTCAAGCAATGCCAGCTATGCATCCCTCCTGTGATGAAGTGACATGTCGCACACTCGCTTTGCTTTGTCCCCACATGCTGCCGTCTCTTTGGGCCCTATTGCTAAGCACAGCCGGCAGCAGCATCACAGATTTGTGCCAGTAGATCCTGGCCAAAAACAACACCAACGCAGGTCGTGGTCTGCGGCCGCTGGCAGCTCGGGTCGTCCTGGGCCTTCTGCAACTCGGCCAACTTTGCCTCAAGCTGCAAAAGCAGTAGTAATAGTACGTGTAGCAGCGTAATGATGGCCACTTATGAACAAGACTGCTCTTACCGTTAGGTCGCAGCAAAGACATACTAGGCTACCTACAATCTTGATGACTGCAACAAGAAATACCAGCAAGCGGGCCCCGTTTGCGAGTTTCAAGAGCTCCGCACCTCACAGCTTCGACGTTTCTGCCGGAGCTCCTTCAAGAGCCACTTACACAGGATGGTGGTGCTCTTCAAAACTTTGGGAGCATCCTATTTTCACGAAGAATTATCTGATCTCTTGTCCATCTTCGGTCCCCTGCTTCGCATGTCAACTCTTGCAACTCGCAGATTCCAGGTGTGGGCTCTGGAGGGCCTGGGGCTTACTCGAGCTTTGGGATTCTAGGACGACGGGGCTCTGCGATTTCAGCTCCCACACTTGAACCATGCAGGCGAGGCTTGTGGTCACAGATCAGGCGAGGTGAAACTAATCAGCGGAAGCCAAGAGAAAAACCCAAACTTCCTACACAAACACAGACGAGAATGCCCTAGTGGAGGACGTTGGGCCTACTCATATACATAGGATCACCTTAAGGGCCAAGGCAAGCACAGTCGGGAACATATGGCCATCAGGACCGGGTCCTCAGGCTCCTGCAGGAGCTGGGGGATGAGGTCGGGCTTGTACAACTCCTGGTCCGGATAAGTAGCGGGCTCTGGGGTTTATCCTCGCAGGAGTCTGGGTTCAGGGCCTTCTGTAAGATTTAGGGCCCCTCGTGGCCTCATGGCCTGAACCCCAAAATGAGCTCTAGGGTTTTGCAAGCATTCGCCTGGCCCGTCCAGGTTGCGCCAAGCCACGGAAATGCACTCCGCATGGAGGGTCTCCTGTACCGAATTGACCTCAGTTCTTGCGGAACGGCTGCAACGATTTCCAGGGCCCCAGGCGAAACAGCAGGGGACGAGGACGAGGCCATGAAATGCATGACGGCTTTCGGCACGGAGTCGATGATCTTTCCTCGTGACAGCGCCCTGGGCCCTCCCATGGCTACTCCTCTGCTAAGACCTTCATCCCGACTTACTGCATGGGCAGTGGCTTTTCACTATTGTGAAATAAGACAGCAGCAGCGACCTCAGTTTCACATCCGCTGCTTAAGACCTCAGGCCCTCAGGCCTTAGGCCGCTGTAGACACTCAAACGGATTGCTTCGCCCAGCTACTTCAGAAGCTCCGTGTCCATGCGTTCCTTCTCCGAAGGCTCCCCCGCAGGGGTGACGACCAGCGGCACGGGCGGCAGCCGTATTACATCCTCCACGGCTTATGTGCGCACCGCTACGGTGTCACGGTGCTGTGTTTCGTTTCTGCAGGCCACCAATATCCACTGTTGTGCACAAGCGCCGACACTGTCCCGTGCAATCCTGCGGCCAAGCCACCTCCTTCTGTGAGGGCTGACGGCTTCCCATGGCCTGCCGCTGCTGCTACTACTACTACTACTACTACTCCTCCTCTCTCTCTCTCTCTCTCTCTCTCTCTCTCTCATGGCACGAACGTCCGTGGTCGTCCTGGCGTGGCAATGTACAGGGGACATGCCTAAGACATGGCTTACTACTACTACTACTACTACTACTACTACTACGCCTTCTGCTTCTGCTTCCACTCCCGCTCCCGCTGCGGCTGCTGCTGCTGCTAAAGTACAAATCACCGGAGTAGTAGTTTCATTACGAATGACAAGCATCCGACAATGACCGCCAGAACGATTGGGCGAACTATGGCAAGAACAAGAACAGAAAGACACTGTAGTGATGTACGATTTGCGCCTCGGCTGACGGAGGCGTTTCTGGCCGGGTTTCTTGGACGCCTGGAGGTGGCATGGCGGCATACTTGTTTAAGGGTTTATAGCATAATAGGGTTAAGGGCAGATTGAACCTGAATCCAGACTCACTGAGGCTGCTGCAAGACATGGCCCGTAAGCCCCCGATGAAGTCCGGGTGATCCACCTCAGTGTTGGGCATTCCGTTCACACCTCCACATCCGCCTGAAAGCTGATGCATAACAAGTTAAAATTTGTGCATGGTGCACACTGTTATGATGAGCCGCATTGATGAACTCTGTTTCGATGCGGATCAAGTTGGAGACCTTTGCAAGCAAGCAGACGGCTGTAAGGTTGCGACAGAAGCATAAGCAGTCACCAGCTAAGCTGTGCAGCCATGTGCCGCCACGGCACCATGTTGTGTGTCGGCTGCAGGGACCGTCGAATAACGCCGTGCGCGACCTCGAGAACCTTTTCCCGCAGTCCTGGCTGCATAACGCGACATCGATACTGCTCTGGATGCTTTCCTCTTGCTGCAAATCCTGGAAATCGTTGCAAGTCGCCAACTTCACCTTGCAGCAGCGCCTCAATGCAGATCCGAGTTCCGAGTAGACGAGCACGAGACTATCATCCGACACTTTGCCTGTCCACAGCCAAGGCCACTTTGTGAGGCCAGCTGCTTCAGCTCCTCCCGACAAGACTTGGACGGGCTAACACTTTTGCATCGATATGTGTTTTTGCAGAAAGACATCTGCGGCCACCAACCGAAATCAGGGGGCGCACGATGGTGCATGGATGACAGCAGAGCAACCGAAAGGGCGAAATACATGATGTGGGGCATTCGGTGGGCGAGCGGGTGAAGCAAGTGCAGAAGCAAATGCTGCTGCGAGCTGAGAGCTCAGTCGAGACAGGGGGGAGCAACTGAAAGAGAAGCACTTTTCCTGCCGCTTTCTATGATGCATGCAGCGAACAGGCTGAGCATGTTGGGACCTCTTGCATGTGACATCCTGCTTGCAGGCTCAAAGCAAATTCAAGAGAGGCTTGCCAACACAGAACGGAAAAAAGAGTCAGAACCCTAGGAACACAGGAAAAGGTACCTGACTACGCCTTTTTTCAGCAGCTCCTCGAAGACCAAGGCGACACACCTCACAAGCACATACGCCCAAAATGTCCCCGGGTCCTGGATCCTCCCTCTTCTGACTTCTTGGGGATGAAATAAAGGAGCACCAGATGCTTCATGCGATCCATGAGGGACCGTTAGCCGAAGATGCCACATGATGCTAGGAGCCTACACCGTATCTAATTACAAATCCATCTTTCTGTCTTGCTACCATTCCTTCCATACATACATACATGCATCAATACATAGGCAAATGCGCGTGCACACACATATTATATGTGTATGTATAAATAAATAAATAAATATACATGTATATATATACACATACACATGTGTGCGCACATGTGGGAATGAACATGCATATAAATACATATCATAGAAATGTATATACGTCTATATTTTTGTGTATATATATATATATACGTTTCCCATAAGTGTTTACGTAGTTACTGTATGTAGCTTTTTCGTATGTGTATGGTTTCCCCAAGCCCCAATGGCAGCTAAGCTGCTGAAGGGCCGGATCTTCCAGCTTTTGGATCTGTCGCTTCACCATCCTTTCGAAGGCGATCTCTGGCACGAAGAGCCTGAGAGAAAGGTGGGTTTTTGGTGACATGCGGCTTCAGGAGTCATAAGGACCCTTAAGGGGCTAGGGTGGGGTAGGGGGAGTAGGCCTTAATACCCGTAACCAGGGCCCAATATGGCTTATTTAAGGAAGTATATGAGGTTCTTCCCTTCGCAACTCGGACTCAGCCAGGCGAGGTCTCACGGTTCGCATTCGCACCGCGGGGTCAGATAAACATAAATGGGAAGCAGGAGCATTAGGAATCCACTCTCGCAACTCGGGCTCCAGGGCTTGGGGTTTGTAGGGGTTTGGACTCCGCAACTCGGACAATGCAGGCAAGGTTGGTTCGGTTCGCAGGGCAGCGCTTTAGGTGTAGCAGGTCGGGCAGCCAGCACGACATGCTAAATCGGTCGTCTTGACAGACAGCTTTCGGACCCAGATAGTGGAAGGAGATGAAGCCGATCAAGAGCCAAGAAGCTGCGGCTTGGGGCCGGCAGCATTTCTCATTGCAACGCGGATGTCCATGTCAGACAGCCCTGTGAAGGCATCGAAGTGGAGAATCTCCTGTTCTCAGAGCTGCATTAGGTTGGCGCCTCGTGGCATTCAAAGATTGAAGCGAAATTGCTTGGCAAGTCCTGGGCGAACACTCGATGGAAGATGTGATGGATCCGAGCGCCACCCACCAGCTTCGCTGGTGGAGGTTCCTGCAACAGTTCCAGGATTTCGATGCTTGGCAGCACCTGCTTCTGTCTTGCAGTCCGCTCTCCCGTAAACGATGCTCGACGCGGCCCTCAAGCAAGTCACCGAAATGCCGCGCATAGCAGGAGATCAAATGGAGCCTGAGGGCTACTGTACATGCCGCAACCGGCAACAAGCTGCAGCTTAAACTTAAACTTCATCCATGGCGCAAGAGTGGGCCTTGCCCCATCTGCTTCTCCAGGTTTTCGTCGCCAAGAGTCGCGAGCTCCTGAGGAGCTCAACAAGGAGAGGCACCGGCTTCGAAAAAGCCTCGGATGTGAAAGTCCTCGCGACACTTCCCAGCCATTTGCTGCACGTTTGTGCGCAGGGAAGGTAAAGCCTTATTAGCACAGAGGTCTGGCAAGCATCCTCGCTTTTTCAACCCCGTTCTGTACAACACGCTTCGGAAGCTGCTAGTGCCTGCCTCTCTGATGTGGTTCAAGAGCAGGAATTGCAGTCGCTGTGCGAGGTTGGGAATGCCGCACCTCGGTGGCAGGAGAAGCTGAAACCTAGAAACAAGTCCAAGAAGCATGGTAAGATATCAACGTTGCACGGTTGAACTCCATCCGTGGTGAGCATGCTCTCTAAGTCGGCGGACTGGGACAGCAGTGGCTGGAATCGCTGCTGTCGCGTGAAGAAATCGTGTTCCTCCTCTGGCTTGTCAAAACAACCGGAAAGAAAAGCATGTCCAAAGCAGGCTATCAAGGTGCCTTCAGTGCATCCTCGAAGGTCATCCCAGCCTGGCTTGACTTTTCGTTCCTGCCAAGGAAGATCGCTAGTCCGGCTTAGAGGACCCTGATCTCCCAAACTTTGCTCCTGCAAACAACCGCTGTGTAGCCCAGGCGAAGCGGGTAGACTTCTCCCGCCAGTGCTTCGAAGGCTGTGCTCTGTTCCTCTGCCAGGTCCAGTTTCGTGAGCACCCCGACCTCAAATACTCCGGGACAAGGACCCATCACCGATGGGAGGGCTAGCGCTGTCATATCATAGCACTCTTCAATCACTTTCAACGATATCTAATGCAACAGTCTTGTTATCGTTCCAAAGTCTTAGTACTGCACAAACGTGGCCATATTGTGACTCTTGACGGTTGACAATGTACAGTTATGACATTGCAAAAACCTGGTGCATCAGTCTTTTCCTGCGTGCAATACGTTTCATGGCTCTGCCCTGACATTCCTTCATAGCCATACCCCCTCTTCAGGTTCCCACGGCTCTTCCTGCGTCCAGGCAGCTGTGCGCTGCCCCTGAGGATCTACCTCTCGGGCCAAAGCAAGCGCATCCGAGGTGGCCAAGTCGACGTTTGCCGCGGACACGGCAAGGATCAGGGTGTTGCTGCTAGCCACGTACTTCTTGACCAGATCCCTTTGACGTACTGCTCGGTCCAGTTACTAATTACAACCGCACACAGGTGCCCAATACGACAAGAAAGCCAATCGGTACTCAAATCGGCCAAGAATCTGGATTCTCTTAGAGATGTCCTTGGGCTGGTCACCGGTTGGTACCTCGATTACAGATGCCGGGCAACCACCCGAAAAAGCAGAGGCCCTATGAGATCGTTGATAACTGGAAAACTCCCCCAAAAGCAGACCAAGGCACCCTACGAAAGGGAGCCTTGGCCTTTCCCTGTCTTAGTTTTCGGAAACCTCCCCGATCTCTGCAAACTATCGGGCCTTGGTCAGTCCTGGTAGGTCGACAAGGGTCAAGTCCATGACTGCTGGCGAGAAGATTCTCAGAAGGATCGGCTCGTCGCTGACGCTGCCTTAGACGCGTTAAGGTTGGGTTTGGAGGCTGGGTTTAAACCGTTTTTGAATTCGGGAATTGGAGCTACAAATGGCCAATTCACCATCTAAGCCTGTCCAGGCGCGACTGCCGCTACACACACGCGCAGTTTCTGCTTCGATCTCTCGGCGGACATCGCCGAAATCACTGAACCTCGCATACCCGCTCAGAATGCTAATCTGACGTGCCTGCTTGCACACAACTTGCGGACCGCAAAGCCATGAGCCTCCTAAGTGCAGAAACTATTGTTGCTGTTATTCCGGCCTCTTCCTGAACCCTTCACCCTTATTTTCCCAAGCCTAGACTCCTAGACTCCTAGACTGTTCCGGACAGTTGGCCCTCGCTAGTGCTGAGACTGCGCATGGCCTGCCTTCGACTGTTGTGCTGGAACTCTGCCCACTCGCTGTGTCCGGCTCCTTCAAGCGGCCAGTGAACAAGCAAGCAAGTTCACTCACCAACTAACTCTCCCTTGTCTCGCCCTTTCAGTTCAGCTGTGTTTCGTTCGTATTCTCGCTTCTTGCAATGCAACATGGGTTGGATAATCCTGCGATTCGAATTAGTCTTCTTGCATCTTTCTGGACGATATGCCTACGGCAGATGACATCTCCGTCCTGCATTGCGGACTTGTTGAAGCTGCAGAATCAACGGCCGTCGGGTTACTATCCCGCTGCCTCGTGGTAGAAAATCTCTGCCTGAGCACGTGTGCGAAAAGCCTCATCTGATCGAGAATTCAGCTCTCAATCTTTTCCCCGAAGCCGCCAAGATGCCCACGAGGCTTTCCAAAACCGACGTCTTGCCCACAGACTGAGATCCCACCACTGCTATGGTGGGTAACGAGAGCTCCGCGTGCAATCCTGCATCGAACCAAATTTCTCAAGCATCGCAGAGTGTGCATCCCATTTACGGACACCGGGAGAATGAAGCATCATGGGCAGCACACGGTCTCTGTTTGTGAAAAAGCCATGGCAAGCTGCACGAATATGATTGATTTCTGCCTGGCCTGGGTTTTCTGGAGCTATGTGATGTGCTGGTAGGATTCAACCCCGCTGTCCTGCCGAAACCAACACCTGATGGATGGCATTCAGCACGGCCAGGGGGTCTTTCATGGACGGGACCTCCTGGAACCCGACTGCTTCCTGAGGCTCCATGGACGTCGACTCGGGCGAGGCGCGAAGTGCCGCATCCTGTCGGGGCCAACTACCGGAACTTGAAGCTACGCCGCCGTGGACGAATGGGAAGAGCGAGACACTGGATGCAGCTAAGCATGTAATCCAAATCATCAAAGGAGACGTTAACATCACCAAGGAGCGCAATGCGCACAGAAGTTCGTTTCACGTTTGCAACAGCTTTGAACTTAAAACGGGAAACAGTAATCGTTGCAGCAGAGCTCTCTGCCACAGGTGAGTGAATCTCCCCTGCCTCGGCGCTACTGGCGGTGCCAGATTCAGTGCGATGCATCCGCTCCTGCCGAGTGCAGCTCGCATACTTTGCAGACGCTTTTACAGCTGTGCAACTACACCCTGATGCTTCGTGAGCTATTCTCGGGCTCGCCCACGCCTCCGGTTAAGAAACGCTGCTAGCACCCGTGTGAAACCCGCATAGTACCCTGACAGGACCCTTGTAGATGCCACCTAAAATAAAACCCTTGTGAAACGATGCTAAAGTCGGAGAATAAAGCCCACCTTTAGCAGCTACATAGAAACCCGCATAGAACCCTCATAGAAACGACCCCACGAGGAAATCCTCACAGCTATTCACAGGGCCCGAATGGGGCCTTGGCTGCCACTAGGCCTTCGTGGAATCCGCGTAGGACATTCATGCGACAGCGGGCGAAGCGGAGACGTAACTCTCCCGTGAGGCGCCATCGTAGCTCCAACACTCGAGGTTCAGGTTGCTGGAAGTTGCTAGGGCTTTCTTGGGGAAGTCATGGTGCTTGCGGTGAGGCTTTGGGATTTCTTCGGCTTCGGCTTGGGCCGTTGATTTTGGGCTGCTTCGTAGGAGGGCTGACGGACACCCTGGAAGTCGAGGTGTTCCGGACGAAAACCCTGGGCGAAACTTCAGCTCTTCCATGGCTTGCGAGCGGGGTTCTTCACGTGACTTACGATCAACACACATTGCTTGAGTGGCCGGGTTTCATATACTCCCCCAACATCTTCACCGCACGAATTTGCACGAAGCGCATGCGCATCAGAACGAACCGCCAGCTGCACTTTTTGACTGCATGGTATACTTTGTGTCGGGATGCTGCTCTATCTGCCATCAAGGACGAGCTAAGATCTCAGCTTTGGAGATTTTGTAGCCTCCGAAGACTTGCTACATCCAGTCTCTGGCTATTTGAGTACACGTGGTCTCGAAGCTTTGGCGGCTCTACAAGAGTTTGATCGCGCGTGCGTGCATGGCCGCACAAAAAGCAAGGGGCAACGCATCAATATATATATATATATATATATACATATACATATATATATATATCACTTGTATATATATATATATAGATAGAACATGGTGTACACTGTCAAACATACAATATAGACTTTGATATAGACTTTACAATATATAGGACACAAAGAGATGGCGACCTTCGCTTGGACTTTGTCCAGGGAAGCCAAGGGCGCAACTACATCCACCCTGCCCTCTGCAAAAGGCAGGTGCCGAAAGACAAATACATCGAGGGCCCACCACACTTTCCAAACCCCAGCGTCCTCTCTCGATTGAAAGGACGCCGGTGGAGAAAGAAGGTGACAGGCTGTTCGCCGATATCCAGAATTCCTGGCAACTCCTCTGAAAGCAGACTCGAAAATCTGTGTTGATGAGGCTGGGGCTTTCAGCGCCACCGCTTGGTGTCAGACCCCGGAGCTCGCCAAGCGCCGCAAGGCACGGACGTCCGAAGGCCTAGTCTTCCAGGAACGGGCACAAGTCATTAGCCGCGGTTACCCAACGGCATTCCCACAAATATGTATACGCATATACTCATACGTACATCCATCCAGACAGACATGGATGGAAGGAAGGATGGATGTAACGAATACGTCTGCCCCTGAACAATGCACGCACACACACACACATACATGCACACCGTAAACATGTCGTGCAACACTCTCTCATTCGGAAGGGGAGGAATTCGAATGAAAAAAGTCGGATGCATGTATGGTTGTGTAGTGCTACAGCATGACAATGCTGAAGTGTCATGGGCTGCATTGCACGAGTAATTATGAATATGGAGGCACAGGCAAATGAATGCAGATCTGATGCTTTGATCCAGCACAGGTCATCATCTTGAAGTCAAAGAGGCGTTCTTCTCCGCCTCAGCCACGTAGGATTTCCACGGAAGGAAGCCGAGACGCGCAGGAGATGTCTCATGCTGCAGTCAGCCAGCTTAGTGGCTTGGAGTTGGGAATTGCGGTTCACATGCTTTCCAACCGGACATGAAAAACTTCATATTGCCAGACCCTGAATCACAGTGGTCTGCGAGCAACCTGTTTTCGCTTGCAGCTGGCGGCTTACTCGAGGATGGCCCGGAAGGCACATCACTGCAATTGCAGCAGTGCTCCATTTAGCAAGTGCCCCAGCGCAGTCAGCTGCACATCTTTGGAAGTAAATTCGGCCAAGACTGCTCGAGCTTCTGCTAATCTGCCCTCATCTTGCATGGTGCGGAGTTCCTGCGCCGCCTCCGCAATTGACTGGAATCTTCTAGACCTTGGCAGCTGGAGCACTGCTCTCAAGTAGACGTCGCTGAAAATGCGATCCGCCTGTAGCCCCATTTCCTTGAGGAACTTGTAAATTGTCTGAACCTCGTGAAAAGGGGCTCTCCTGCATGCACCCATCAACTCTCGGAAGACGACGATGTCTGGTTCAATGCCCTGTCCGAGGGCCAACTCAAAGAAGCTTTTTGCCATCTCATGGCTCTCTTCGTTGTCCTGGGTTCTAGGTTTATGGGCCACTTATGGAAAGACCAGCAGGGAAAGGCAAAATTAAAAGTATGTCGAGTTGCCACCTAGAATCTGCATTTTTGCAGGCACGGATCGCAGAGGTGAAGTGCAGTAAATTCGGCTCCATCGGGGGCTCTAGGCGTCCCATCTGTTCCAGGAGCTTTTGGGCAGCTTGGATGTCTCCAACCTCTGCAGCGGCATCGAGCCTTGCAGCACAGAGGGCTGCGTCAAGAGGGTGTTCTGCCAGCGCCTCCTCCCAAATCTCCTCTACTCTCGAAGAGTTCGACTTGGAGAAGATCTTCAAAGCCATCGAGAAGCTCGGTAGATCTCGCCACACCGATCTCTGGCACATTTCCTCATAGATGCTAGCGCCCTCGTCGAACTGTTTGCACCGAATTGCTGCAAAAAGCGCTGCACTGTAAATCGGAGTCTGCGTGCCGCCGTAGCCCCATATGATAGCACTGGCCTTGCTCCAGTCACGACGCCTGCCTGCCCTCACGATGCTTTTTAAGAGCTTCTCCTCCTCTCTCCCGAGGAAGGCCTCGCCCCTCTCGCGCGCCGAGGCGGCGAATCGCCTCTCCTCGTCGGCCCACTTCCGCGGGGGATGTTGGGGAGCCTCGGTGTTCGTGGCTCCTGTTGCAAAGGAAGTCGCCGCGAATGCAAAGGCAAAGAAGGAGCAAGCCCGGACCAACTTCAGGAGCTGCCCTCTTCTGGCCTTCGCCAACATTTCCAGGGCACAAGCTGCGCGGCCTCTAAATGCCAAACACTGCAGGCCAAGATGATAAGCTTGCAGCAGGGCCTTTGTCTTGCGAAATCTCTCAAGTATCCACTTACTTGTGAGCAAGAGTTATGCCGGTGGTGGTACGGGCGTCCAGGTGTTGCTATGCTCTGGCAACATATTAACGACAACGTGGTGCAGTCTTAGACAATGCTGTTGAACACAAATGCAGCAGAAGGCCTTGACGGAAGGCCTCTTGGAGACCGCCCCTCCCCTGCCCTGCCCTTTGGGTGACTTTGACAAGACAATGAGAATCCGAAGCCACATCCGCCCACGACTTGCGTCCCAGGAGCTGCTCAAGGTCAGCAGAACTCGCGCGCCCTTGGAAGAGGAGGCTGGTAGGTAACGTATGTTTTTGACATCTCGGTGAAGTGAAACTGCAAGCTCCCGCGACAAGAGCCAAGGGTGGTACGGCAGCTGTCGCGAGGTATGCTTGCCTTGGTCCAGTCTCTCATGCTCACCACGGGTTGCAATCGTACTGCACAACCAGCATCAGCGAGTTGGCACTGCGAGCACAATGTCCAACTTGACAGCATTCGACACGCCGGGCTGCTCGATTGTCACAGCATCCTGGAAACTGCAGGCCTGCACAGGTTTCGGTTCAACAACCCAACGCCCATAAGGCGACTTTAAGGCAGGTGCAGCTCTGCAACTTAGCATAAACTACCTCATCAAAGACACTTCCTGCCCATAATGCACGAGAGAGATGTATACCCTCGCGCCTCCGAGCAAAGCTGCGCACATGTATACCACTGCTTGTAAGACGAGCTCGCAGACGACATCTTGTGCAGTGGAACACGTCAAGGGGAAAAGGGCCTTCCACTCTATGCCTCCGCAGTGAATCTCCCAGGAGGGAACGTAGCCTGCAACTCGACCCGGGCATTCCGACGTGTGAAGCACGCAGACTGAGAAAGTCCAAGCACCAAAGGCAACGAAGCCACAAAACTTGAGTCAAGGCGCAACCGCTCAAGATCTGGCGCATTTCTCTAACTCGGCCTGTCGTGTCGAGAGCCATGCCAGTCAACGGTGACGTGACGTTTTCAACTAGGTCTCCGGCCAGTTTTGAGATTGGTCCTTGGACGGGCAAGTCCAGAACTGATGCAGGAGTCTGGCATAAACCCCTATACTGCGGTTAGAATCCTCATGGGTAAGCACACAATACATGCGGGCCCCCTGGTTTCGCAAACTCCCCACATGCAAATCTCAGTTCTGAGGCAGCCGGGGCTCTGGACGTTTTCAAGGAAGTCCACCTTGTACATAGTCCCTCTGCCTCATGCCAGAGGCTCGGATCAGAATACTAGAACTACCTACCCCCCAACCATGTGGCCAACTGAATGCTGCTCAAGCACCGAAGGAGAACCTCAGAAACAGCGAGGAGGCTCTTGAGGAACTCTGGCTCGAGTTATTCAGGGCCCCCCCGCCTATACCAAAAACCTGTTAAAGCCGTATGAAAAGTGCATGGAACCCGTATCTCTCTCGCCCTCCCTCGGGAGCTCGCAGAGTTCTTGTCCCTTTCGAAGTCTCTTCTGCTTTGCTTCCGAAGTTGCCCAGACGTCTCCGCTTGCTGTCCTTTGCACTCGACTTGCAGCTGGTCCAGCAAACATTCATCCTGGCAGGCAAAGACGGCAAAAGCCCAGAAGGGATTTAGGGTTCCTTCAAGACTTTAAGGGTTAAGAAGGGCTCCAAAAGGGGTCTGGCCATTCAGGGTTCCTTAAGTTAAGCGCATTAAGGGCCTGGGGCTTAAGATCATGCAAGTCGTCGAAGGGGAGGGGAACCGAAGACTGCTCTGAGACCTGAGTTCGCTTTGCCTCCGGCAGGTAGCGCTGCCAGCCATTCCGGTTTTTCCACTCCCAAACACTGGCCGCCGCCTGGATTCACTGGACGGTGGACGCTCAAGTGACCTTCTGGTATGCGAATCGAGCTGCAACTGCAATCATGGAATCATGATACCAGTTGCAACCAGTGGTATCAACAGGCCTGGAGAGAGCTTGCCTGCAGCTCGTCTTCGGACTCCACTTTCCACCTAAGCACAGGGAGCAACCGAATTCCAAGCAGTGCCTCCATGGCTCAATGGAGCCGTACTACAATCCTCACCGGCTGCCTTATCTCAGATCAGGTGTGCCGATCTCGAATCTCATCAGGATGATTGGGTAAATCCGAACGATGCTATGGCGGGAGGGACGACGACGTCTTGCTGTGACCACATCGTCCGGTCGACGAGCAGGCACTAAATGGGCCGAGTGGCTTCCACTGCCCAGCGTAGACGCAGCCTTTCCTTGAGTTCGAAGGACTTGCATTCATTTGCTATCTATGTACGCAAACTCGCGTCGTCAGGTCCTACCAGAAGAGAAGCGGTGAAGAAGAGACCGAAAACAAATGCCACGAATAGGAGAGGAAGCATCTGTATGCCTACATTGGCATGCATGTCCGTACGTTAACATCAAGATTATTCCTTGCTCGTAGAATTCCGGTGCTTGCACAGGCTATCGCATTGATGAAACCTCTTGCAACTGCTCATGTGCACAAGACGAGCTTCAGGGCCAGCGCTGGTGTCTTCAGTGGTTGCTGCAATCCCGCCCCACGTCATGGTCCAGCGTGTTAGTAGAAAGCTTTAGCCTTTGTTGGGGTAGCGCCTGGGTGGGTGGGTGGGTTTTGGGGGGGGTTTTGGGGGGG